CTTCCAGCACCATTGGCCTCAGTCAGCTGGGCTTATTTTCACACCTGTATGCAAAAAACATCACTGGCCTTTAGTTACAGATGCTCTTAAGTAGCTAGAAAGCAGGCAGGCTTCCTCTATGCCTGCAGCCAAACTGGGCTTTGTCAGGTCCTGATTGCCCTATCACCGTTCTGCTGGAAGTACACCCAAAACATGGGTCCTCTACCTTGGCTGAAGGGCTACGAGATGGCAGCAATGTCCCCATCCCGTGGGAAATGCCAGCAGCCACATGCTGACTGGAGACTGCTGAGGGGACAAGGACGCTCCTATGGACAGCACACACAGGGCTAGCACTTTGGATCTGAGTGTGTTTCTCAAGGTGGTCTCTTTTCTTCATGTCCTCAAAGCAATGGGGAACACTTGCCCTGATTCCCATAGCACTGCTATTGCTCTGCAGGTTAAGTGCAAATCCTTTAGGCGAGAGCATGGATGGCACAGGCTGGAGCAGAGTCCAGGTAAAGGCAAGAGGTGGTCCTACCCTCTGACACCCCCAAGTCTTGCAGAAAAGGAGGGTGTATGGATTTTTCTCAGGCTGCAGGAGGTTCAACGTGCAAAGCCAAGGCTGGAAACAAGGCTAGGAAGTGCTCTGAGAGAGGTCTGAAACCACAGTTTAGGGGATGCTGGAGAAGGAACTTGAAAGACAAGAGAGCTAGGCCAGTTCAGGACCCCTCTGTGAGGAACTTGACAGCTGCACCCACAGCACATCCATGTAAAGAGGCATTAAATCATCTTGGCTGCTTGGTTTTAGCCAAGTGCCCAAGCCAAGGCTGACCTGTGGAGGGAAGGACAGGAGTCACCAACCACCTGCAGGGATCTCCCTCCTTCCTGTCCCAGGGAAACTGGAAGCACTTGAGGGTTTGTTCATGGCAGCACCCAGGCATCTGTGACCACCACAGGTCCCTGTGGCAGAGATCCCCAAATTTTCAGGACCCCATCAGCCATGAAAAAAAGGAGCAGGATCTGGCTATGAGTGTGGCTTGGGCAGCTCTTCTTCTGGACGGCCGTGTCCTAACAACTCTGGGACTGAACCACAGGGGTCGGCGCAGGCTGCTCCAACCTGCCCTGCCCTGAGCCAAGGTCTCAGGGGCTATGGCAAGGGGCAGAGGCATGAACTGAGAACTAGGTGCTCTAAAGACATTTTCGGAGCAAAGAATCATTGCAGGAAAGAAAAGGTTCATTATACGCTCTCCAGATATCCATACCTTCCCCTTTGCACCCTTTCTGGTATTATCTGAATCATTGGCACCACGACAGCCAGACTGAACAGTCTCATTTGGCTTCTGCTGCTCCTCTCCCAGCTCCACCTGACTGACAAGATAGGTACAGCTGTACAAAAGGTGATCTGCTGCAAAAACACAGCAATTTCTCAATTGGTGTTAGTGCTCCACCACTGCACCATCTGCTGCACATACCTCAAATAAGAGAGTCTGACATCAAACACTCCCTGAGCTTTTTTTATCCAAGCCCCTCTTCCAGCCTTGCTCTTCTTGATCCCATCCTGCACTGCAGATCAAATGAATCAATCAAACCATTGCAATTCATCTTTCTCCCCCACCCCCATCTTCCTGACACAAAAATATTTGTCCATCTGTGGCAAACTCCTCTGAGATTTCTGTAGCATCCCCTGCCAATGATGGCTCGACAGCGTCTGACTGTGAAGAGCATGTTAGACAAATACCCATCAGTGTATTGTACAACCGTACAGCAAGGCATGAAGTTGGTTTTACCAGCCTGCAGCCAGATGTTGGCTGAAAAAGATGAGGTGCACCAGAGGACCTCACCTGTGGAGATGCCTCCAAAGCCAATATGCACAGCTTTACTGAAGATTTATCCCAACTCTGAGCCAGGCAGTTCAGAGCTGCTCTGTTCTTAACACCACAGAGCACAGGCTGCCTCTTCTGCTCATAGCTGCTCATGGTCGTCACATCGTGTACTCTGCACCTGCCTTTGCACACTCTAAAGCTTGCTAATTATTTTCTCCTTAGTTAAGGAGCTTTACTCACAGGTGAAAATACCACGGGGTAAGTTCACATGCACCTAAGGGCTCATCAGCACAGGCACCTGCCCTTCCCCGTGCATCATACACAGATAGGCCAGAAGACTTGCACCAACACCAGCAGTCACCAGCCCAGGCTGGGAGGGTGAAGGCCCCAGCAGGTTCAGCCATGGCTGCCAGTCCCTGGATGCACACAGACCAGGCGGTGCTGGCCAATGCCCAGCAAAGCCCTGCTGTGCCCAGGCAAGCTGCATTCAGCAAGGTCCACACAAATGCTAGGATGGGTCCTCGTGCCTTCACACAGTACAGAAGGGGGGTGTGGGGGGGGGGGTCTGTTTATTAAATGCAACGACCACGATCCATGCCACCAACCTCCCCAGCCCACAATCAACACCCTGGGAAAGCATCACTAGAGAATTAGCAATGGCCACGATCCATGCCACCAACCTCCCCAGCCCACAATCAACACCCTGGGAAAGCATCATTAGAGAATTAAAGAAGTGCAGGCCTGGGACAAGCTGTCCCCTCAGCAACCAGTACCAGGACACAAACATCCCTCCACATCACTGACCTGCGCAATGAAGCGATGACCTCCCAAGCACAGTCTGAGCCTCCAAGGGCCCAGCAGGTCCTGTCCGCAGCACTCCCTTCCCCTCTGGCTGGGGCACTTCCCGGCTCTGGATGAGGGCACCCGGTTAGATGGTCCCGCTGGCTCTTTGCTCCATGGTGGGCACGCCGTCAGCTGGGCAGGAATCCAGCACCTGTAGAGCGGTCTCTTGTGCCCCACTCCTTCCTTCAGGGCAACTATGTCCACTCTAGAGAGCTAATCCCCCTCAACCTGCTTTCCTCCAGCTCCGATCCTACCCAGCAAAGTTGCCCGTGGTCAATCCAGGGGGGACGTCCCGTGTGGGAGACCCCTTTGCCTCCTGCAGGTACAGGTAGTCTCACAGCACTCCCAGGGAGGATGTGGGTCAGCAGCCGCTTATGGTTTCAGGGACCAGCGGGTGCTGAGCGGGCAGAAAGCACTTCTCCACTTTTAAGAGGCTTTTCCAGCCAATGGGGACGAGGTGGCTGCCTGCCGCAGCCCGAATCCCCCAGTAATCCTGCTGCCCAGGGGCTCCTTGCCTTTCCCCCAGCAGAGCGGGGCAAGCTTGTAGGGGGCAGATTTGGAGGGGTTGAGGCAGGAGGAAGTGGGATGAGGGTGGGAGGGTGCTGGTGATGGACCCAGCGATGAGGGAAGGTGCTAGGAAAGGGGACAGTGGAGGATGAGGGCATGAACCCACGACTCAGTGAGGGGCACTATGGGGAAAGAGGTTGCTTTCAAAGGCCACCGCTGCTTCCTCAGCTGCTGGCCAGGATGGAGAAGCGCTGGCGAGGTTCTGCAGGACATGTGCCTAGCAGAGAACAAACACGAGGAGGAACCACTGCTGTCCAGGGCTGGACAGGTGGGATACTCTCCATCCACTCCCAGAATGAAACCCCTCAGCAGGTGCCACCCAGGAGGGTGTCTGCTAGGCACCAGGAACAAGCCAGTCTCTGGCCATGTGTGGGGGAACCCATTTTACTTTCCAGGGAAGGAGCAGGGGCTCGACCTAGGTGGGATTTTAGGGAAGAGAGAGAGGGAAATGCCCAGGCTGTAAACATCCAAAGCCCTTCAGACCCCACTGCTGTGCCTTTCTGCTGGCAGGTCAGGGGGAGGGGGGAGTGGGGGCTTTGCAACGCTCGCAGCCAGGGTTTAATTTCTATTAATAAGGCTAATCGGCTAAAGCCGTGGCCCTTGCTCGTGCTCCCTCCCTCACCGCCTCTCCTTTTGCCCCCTGACTGTGGGGCCATGTTGATGGGGCTCCCACAGGCCCCCCACAGGTTCCCAGGGGAGCATTTCCTCCAGACTGAGCATTTCTGGGGCACCCCTGGGGTTCACAGCCTGGGAGAGAAGAAGATGGCTACCAAGCCTTGTGCTCTTGGGGAAGGCCTTGCCCACATGCGGTGGCTGGGGAGTGGGGACTTGCTGCCCTCCAGTGGCAGGACAGCTTGGGGAGGGG